CCTGGTCCCCCCCCCCCTGCCGGCCGGCATTACGGCCACCCCCTGGCTAGAACGGCTGCGGCACAGGGCTAGAAGGTGCCCCTGCGCCCGGCTGCCAGCGTGCCACGGCCTGAGGGGCCGATCCAGGGCCCGGACTTGGCTCTGAGCCGAGCAGACTTCCCGGGGGACATGTCTCCTCTCTTGCCCCCCCCAAGCAGCGGGGCAGCCAGCACAGGGTGGCACCCTCGTGTTCCCTGCCCGACTCATGTCCCGGCAGTGCTCTGTGCATGGCCCCCGGGCTGCCCCTCTGTGCCTGGGGTGGAGGAGGGGTCCGGGGCGTGCCCCCCCCCTGAGCCTGCACCTGGCACAGACGCACCAGGGCTCAATCCTGCTCCCGATTGGTTAGCACGGAGGCAGGGGAGGCCCTTGTGCCGCGCCGGGGTGAGCCCCTGCCCTGGAAGCCGGGCAGCTGTGGACGGCCATGCAGGGTGCCTGGTCCCCTAGCCGGTTTGCAGGGTAGCCCCCTGTGCCCAGCTGTGCCAAGGGGCTGCTGCCAGCGCTGCTCTGTCCCCACACCCGGGGAAATCCTGGCTCCTTCGAGGGGCAGCGCAGCGCCTGTGGCCCCACAGCACACTCGGCCCCCGGCGCCAGGAGGGGGGGGCCCGCCGTCCCTGCCTTGTCTCTCCCGCGGCCAGTCCACAATGCGGGCAGATGTCTGGGGGTGCCCAGCCGGGGCCCCCGGCCCATTTCGGGGTGGCCTGAGTCCAGGCTGGGAAAGGGGAGCAGAGGAGCTGCCTTATTGAAACGGAATGGCCTGCCCGCTGCACCTGCTTTTCCCTTCCCGCCTTAAGTGGTTCGTTAGTACACCTGCTGCTTTAGTCCGCCCAGAGGGAGCGTGGTGCCGGCCGGCCGGGCTCTCCACGGTGACAGGCGGGAGCCAGAGACGAGTTACTAGCACCGGGGGGGTGGGGCTTGGTTTACAGAGGGGAAACTGAGGCACGCTGCAGGGCTGGATTCCAGGGCTGCTGTGTGCCAGCCCAGAGCACCGCCCCCTAGGCTGCACTGCCTCCAGTCGCAGTCTGGGGGTTCCTCCCAACGTGCTCCACGCTGCACGCGCCAGTCTAGAGGGTCGGGGGGCCACGTGGCTGCTGGTTGCCTGAGCAGCAGGGCTGCGGGGGCGCAGAGGTGGCAGGATCCGCACGCCCTGGGCTCTGTCACGTGCCCAGCGTACGCGCCCGGCCTGGGACAGTGCGAGTGCTGGGGGGCTGAGCACTCTCGGCCAAGCTAACCAGGGCTGGGCCGCGGGGCACCCCGGGATGGCGCCCGCTGGGGGCTGCAGGTGCCCCTCTCGGGCGGGGCGTCTCTGTCTCACACCGGCCCCTCTCCTCGTGTGTCCCCAGGAGTACCTGGACGTGCTGGGCAGACCCATGGTCCTGGCAGGGAACAAAGCAAAACAAGTTCAATGGACCAACGTCTACCAGGATGCTCTGGTACGGACGGCAGAAGCAAGCCCCTTGCGTGGCGCCCGC